AGTCTATTGAAGATTCGGAAAAAAAATAATTTAAGACGTGTTTAAATGGTATTGAAAGTATTCCACCTGCATGGTTGACTTCATAATTACAATAGACTCGGGTTTGAAGTTGGCTTCTCAATCAACTGTTCAGGTCGTTAATGTTTAGTTTATCGATTGCATGGGATCTATACGTTTAAAACATTTATAGAATCGTCTATCTTGTACATTTATTCTCTGTAATCAAGCGATGTGTTGTTATTTTATTCAATAACATAACACGTGAATAACCTTTTTTATTGCATATTTAAAAAAAAAAAGTTTTAAAACGTCAGATCATTTATTTATAAGTTTGGAATCTAACTACCTGCAAGACGTTAACACATACATATGTAGTTCAGCCAGCTGTAATATTTAAACTCATACGTCCGTTAGACTGAAGCGAATTCAACTGCTAGACTCTCGCTCATCTATCTGTCAAAATTTAGCTCAACAAGCTTATCAGATTTAGCTCATCAAGCTGTAAGACATGGCGTTAAATAACGATCAGGTGGACTAACTGACAATCGACAGTGTGAGAGATACCTTAACAGATGTAAAGATAACCAAAGGAACATAGCAGCTTTCCCTGCTTTTATTTAAACCAAAATGTTTTAGAGACTTGAGATCTGTCTAAGACGCTTCCTATAAAATGTTTTTTTTTTTCTATTTGATACAAACAATAAACAATGATCATACAATATATTAACTCTGCATAAAGGTGGTAAAGACTTTTTTATTCTCATTAAGGATTAAACGTGTGTATGTGTTAATTGTTTAATTGAAAGAAATTATCTTAAAATAAATAATTTATAATTAAAATATGTGTTTATTTGACTACAACTTAAACCGTGTTCCAAGTCTTTTAAATGTATGACACTACAGGGTGCGCGGAACTTTGACCACAGGTGCTTTGACCATAGGGGGTTAGACCATAGGGGGTTTGACCACAGCGGGGCTTTGACCATAGCGGTGCTTTGACCATAGGGGATTTGACCACAGGTGTTTTCTTAGCAGAAGGTCTTTGATCACAGGCGATTTGATCACAAGCGCTGTGTCCGGCTTTGATCACAGGTGTTTTGTCCATATAGGGACTATGATCACAGGTGGTTTGTCCAATGCTGTCCACATATGGTAAGGATTAATTTTAAAAGTTGCTAAATTATATTTTAAATTGTGACATGTAATAATATGTTAAGTCCTCATGTAAAAATTCGTACACCGCAAAACACGTGACCTGTCCTGGGGTTCTCTGTAAAACCAAAATTCATGGCCACGATACAATAAAATTCTTTTACTTATTTTGACGTGCTATTCTCTCCAAGATTCTCCAAGGTTTTGACATAGAGTGGTTTCGATGACAAGGTGTCACTTATCTATGTGTGAAGATATATATTTTTATAGATATTTGAGTAGAAATTTAATTAAATGTAGTTGCATTTTACTATTATAATGCATACATCATCCCTGTTGACACTCATGAAGCTGAGATGTTCTATGGAGGAGAAGCTGCTAGTACAAAGAATCCAGGTCACAAGGATTTTATACCTCTAAGGGGTTTCAATATTAATTGTCTACCTTCTCGTTGCCATGACACTGACCTCAAGTCTGAGACAATCAAATCAATGGCAAACCTAACTGTCCAGTTAAAGACTAAATTTACAAGTCTAGATAGACCAGAGTTTTACCCAGGCACTCAAGTTCCATATCCATGTTATAAAGACAGAGGAAGTCACGTGATGAGGTTAGGGGCTGGAAGAGTGGTCCAGATTTTCAAGTACACAGAAAGAGACGGAATTCGTCATTGTGCTAAATGTCAAGACTCTGACACACCCAACAAAGTGTATGGGGTCTTAGGTATTTTGACAGCCAGACACGTGGTATTTGACGACAGTGAAGCGAGACAGACCACGTGTGTTTTAGGTTTTGATAATGATGAAAGTCACATGACCAGTCTAACCAGCTGGACTGTGGAAGAAGCAGACGTTGAGAAAGACAGGTGTTGGTTGAATCACGTCACGTGTGATCTAGATTTTATTGATGAACTGGTCACAAAGTGGCGACATTTTGAAGATCTTTGTCGTGAAGTAAATAAAATATACGGGAGGTTTGCTGATGTGGACAAGTTGACCGTTATTGTATCACATCCTCATGGCTGTCCTAAACAGGTCTCTGTAGGACAATGGATAGAAAAACATGAAAGGGACAATTTCTGGACCAGGTACTGTTATACAAGCAGTACATGTCCGGGCTCAAGTGGAGCGCCTGTCTACAGGCTTGAATATGACGGTTTGGTCTGTCAACATATTCATAGTGGGTCAAATTCATTGGGTAACTGTAGTGGGGAATATTGGGACTAATTCCAGGTTTTGTAGTGGCCTGTACTTTTTATATTAGATCTTACAAAGGTAAGTGTTGAAGTCATCGCTTTTATTTAACACATGTTTGCTGATACTTAAACCATGTAATCGTTAACCCTAACCCTAACCCAAGAATTCTGTAACTCTGCTTGTATTATTTGAAAAATCAAAATTTAAAATTTTGCTTAAAATCTGTTGTTTTTTTTTTGCAATTTAATATCTCAATCGCGAGGATGATATAAAAATTAAACTTTTTAATATACTATGTAAACAAGTTTTTTTTTGCGTTCAACCATAATTTTTTCCCACTTCATTTTATTACTTAGAAAAAAAACACATTATAATAAATAGTGAATGGCAATGCGGCTATAATTTAAGTTTTAACATCCTGACAGACCTGTGAAAAACCCAAACCCTATCCCCAGCTAAATCTATATTAATACAGAAAAATTCCCTGCAGATCTGTACATAGTGTGTAGGTAGAAACGATGATGTAAAAAGTTGGATATTATTTAATACATTCTTTTAAAAGGCACTTTCTTGATTATATATTTATGATGTCAGTTGAACTTTATAGGATAAACAAAAATTGGGCCCTTTAACACACATTTTGCTGTATAATACTACCGTTTTCAATCTCAAGCATCAATAATGTGACTGATAGGGTCTTTCATTGTGTAAAATTCATTTACACTACACCTTTACATTTTGGATCAAATGTGTAGGGTTTTTTTGTAATATATTTTTATAGCCGATCATTTCATGTAATTAATTTGTTCTAATGTATCAATTTTTTTTGTCTTAAGTTTAGTTAAAATAATACATTTTTACAGTTTTTAGTTCTAAGCTTACTATTATGCTGTATTAAAACTAATGAATTATAATTACCACCGTAACATGGACAGGTGTATGTCTGATAACTTTATTTTGGGAACATTATTTGTGTCTTTCCCCTCGTCTTTGTAAACAGCCCAATTCAGTATGTTTCCTACAAAAACGCCTACTGCACGTCATAAATCCAGAGTATAGCTCGTGATACCCAGATCTACAGTTTCCCGTTCCATAAAATTCGAGAATATGTTTGAGAAGATAAGCGTACGTTGATATAATAAATCACTACTTTACATTAATTTGTGCCATATGAACCATTTTAATGTCACGTTAAAAGTTCGGAGAACACTAACACATTTATTGATTATTGCCTGTATTTTGTGCCTTCATTTAAAAAAAAAAGTCTCGTTTAATTTGAAACTGTTTACTAGAGCCCTTTCCCCTATCGTCTATATAGTACATCTTACTAACTTTGTCACATTTCAGCCTAATATTTCGCCTCATTTTTGTTTATGAATATCCACTTTCTTGGCCAAAATATATATATAAAAAAAATACAAAATGTCTATGAACGTTAAAATAGACTGCAATAATTAAGTATAGAACATTATTTTTAAACTGCTAACAATCAACATTACATTTTCTGAACTCCATTTTACTCTTCTCATTGTCACTTATCGTGACAGAAATTAAATCCCTCTCCCCTCACACACTCTCCCCTCACACACTAAGCTTTCTGTCACAGAACTTAAAACTATTTTACATATTAAAGTACACAACAGAAGTTAGCATTAATGTATCACTTTTCGACACATCATTTAATTGCTGTATTGTTATTTTAATATGTTAGAGTGCATTATGTATTTTCACAGGTTGGTTGAAAAAAGTGTAACTTCAATTTGGTATTTTCATTTATGTTGTCTGTTTCTTTAATTATATCTTAGTCATTTACAAGAAATCAATACTTATTTTGCTATTACTTTCCAGGTTACATTATGCCCTTCTTTCATAAACTCGAGAAAATAAAAATTAAAAATTTACACAAGCATCACGTTTTGAACGTCACTCTTTTTAATATGTGTACAAATTGGATTGCCGTGTACCAAATTAAAAATATTATTAGCCTCTCCAAGCAACAAATATTTAAAACATAGGAATTTAAATTACTATACAGTAGCTAGAGAAACCTACTATAAGTATTGCAACATTGCGTAAGTTCGGAAATTCCTGATCTGATATTCATCCACACAGTATCACGTGACACTTACCTGGGGGTTTAAGCTATTTTTAGAAAATAGGTCAAATGGTTTTTTTAACACTTTTAAGTTAGTCACCAAACGTTACAGGTACTAAAGAATTGTTTTTTGTTTTTAATTAATTGTATGGCTTTTTCTGTTTTTACTTGTTTAAAATGTTTTCATCATAGAAAGAAGCCATTAGAAAACAGGTGAGTCAATTATTTAAAAAGTAGGCAATGGCAATATTTAATGTAGAACACACACACACACACACACAGATATATATATATATATATATATATATATATATATATATATATATATATATATATATATTATGCATATTATTTTTATTTATCTATATTTATATATGTATTTTCTTTCAATATGTATTTGAAGAAGATTTGGCTACACTGATGATGTAATGTTAGAAAGTATGTTGGGACATTTAAAAAAATATTCCTGTTATTGCCTTAACACCTATCAGCACATTGCTACGTATACAAACGTTCCCTTTTACTGACCTTACACAAGTCTTTAATTTGCCCGGGTGGTCATAAAATGCATTCTGTTTTCATAAGACTTATGCAAAAAGTTGTATATGCACGAATGCTGTAAAAACGAGAAAAACAAGAGGTTTAAAGATAAACTAAATCAGTACATTTCACACCGATAAGGATGGTATGAAGTGCTTGGTGAATTTAACTCCTCTTTGGGGATAAAAAATTGTGACGCTGAATGAGGCCATTGCTAAAGAATTAAACCACGGGATCGTCTTTAATCGGGAACTGGAGATGTAAATGTTGCAATTGAGGTATTTATTAATGTCAAAATTCTCACTCGCACATAAAAACGCGCGAAAATACATAGGCACATACACGCAGGCACATATGCGCATACAAACACTAACACACCGTTAAAACTTAGTTTTTCCGGCTTAGGAAGGTTTATAACATTTAGATTTTTTTAGTTAACAGACTATCCAGTAAGTAGGCTCGTATGTCCGAACTCACCCCACAATGTAGCGCAGTACCACAGGTAAGTCATGGGGTCTAGCACTTATTGGCTTACCTGGTAAGAACCCAGGGGTCGATAACGACCAACATGCAGTGATCGAACCGACATCTTCAAAAGCTAGTTAGTCGGAGTTTACTGTGTCGAGGCCAGTCTGGTTAATGGGAGCTCTGTCATAAAAGTAGCTAGACTCTCCAAAATGTTTCAAATCCAAAACATTTATTTACCCCGAAACCTTACGAGTAAAAGTAAGTAAAGTTTCCCTTTCAAACCTGACGGTCTATGGGGCAAGTGAAGTAGAGTTCACTTGTTTCTGTGACCTCTGCATATGAAGAGTAGCCTCACTTTATAAACGTAATTTTAAGAAAGTGAATATATACATTGATTTAGCCTGATTACGTCAGATCTTTCCTTTTTCTGTTACAGATGTTTCTAAGCATATTAATTTTAAGCAAAAAATACGTATTTTATTTAACCTTTTAAGAGTAGCCTCATTTAGTTTAGAAACATCTTCTGAATGCTAAGATAAAAGTACGACAGTTGCTAAAAATATAGGCCTACTATAATATTTAATTGTAATTGTTGTTTCCTCATCAGATTGTATGGCGAAGATCTCATAAAAATTGATTTGAGAAATGTCATCTAAAAGAGTGTGCAGGACAAGGAGTTATACATGTAACATTACTTAATTACTAATGTATGTGTTGTTCTTCGTTCATCAATACACAAAAGACGTTCGCCCGATAATTTTTAACCATCTTTTCTGTCCTTTTGTCTTTACTTGAACAAATATGTCACAAACAGTGGCGTAGGCAGGGGGGGGGTATATATATAAAAAGTATGAGGGGGGGTGCAAATCGAAAGTTTGAGGGGGGGGGTGTGCAAATCGAAAGTTTGAGGGGGGGGGGGGTTGCAAATCGAAAGTTTGAGGGTGGGGGGTGCAAATCGAAAGTTTGAGGGGGGGGGGGGGGTGCAAATCGAAAGTTTGAGGGGGGTGGTGCAAATCGAAAGTTTGTCCCCGGGTAAAAATTGGAACCCCCCCCCCCCCCCTTGAGACGATCCTGGCTACGCCACTGGTCACAAATAAACCAAACAAGTTATTTAGCCAGTGCGGTGTCTTAATTTTCCATACACAAGTAATAGCGGGAAATAAAACAACCGTGATAGTTTATTTTTACAGCTAAGTTATAAATAGAATTTCGTGGTAACTGGCTGAATGGCCATTTTGAAAACTTTTTATCTTGAAGCTAAAGTAAGGTAAGAGCTTTGATTTTCCTTTTGATGTCTTAGTTTATAATTATGTTTATAGAATATATTATGAATGTGTGTTAATTGCTATCATTGGATTGAAAACACATTATTGAAAATTAATTAAGAAATAGGTAGTAGTTATTTACTAAAATATGCAAACATTATTTATATCATAGAATAAAGCTGATTTCACATTTAGTCCTAAATATACCTATTCAACCTATTATATTAAACAGCAATAGCTTTCAGCAACGTTTTGGAAATTGCCAGTAGGTAATAATAAATATTCTCATGCAGCAATTCCTTCAGTGTTCCTCTTGTTTTAAAATTAAATGGAGAAGATATATATAAGGCATGTGTTTGGATACAATTCTTGGACATTTTCATTTAATTATTGAGTGTACCTGTTTGCTATGTCTAAATATAAATGCAAGCATACCAACTTTGTTGAAAACATTTGAAACAACGTTACGGAAGTTTCTACTATAGTGGAAAAAAACACGATATATTTTTATCGAGGCAAGTACCGGTCGAGTTATTGAATTCCTAGCTCAGGTTAAGGTTTTTTTTCTGCAAAGTTTTTAACTCCCGTTCCACACTTTGACGTTGGTGGGAGGATGATGTAGAAGAATACCTAACATCACCGTCCCTTACTATTCCCTAAACTTGTCCTTGTAGCGGGAGTGAGGGTCTTGGATGTTGCCTATACCAGCATATATAGAGCATGTAGGTTTTTCTAAATGTATCTTCATAAATCTATTTAGAATGAATTCTTCATTTAAAATAGGCTTACATTGTTAAAGTGAATTTTAATAGTACAAAGAATTTATTTCTATGATGCAGCTTTTATGATAAGTTGAAAGTTATGTTTTGTGAACAATTAAGTCCATAGAAATAACCGAGGATAAGCATCTCATGTTGTAATGTTAGCTACATTATAATTTATTTTCATATTGTGATTACATATTCAAAATTACATTTAATGACAACTATAAAAGCAAATTTGAAAGAAACAGCTTACCACCATATGTGCAATGATTATAACAAAAACCAAAATGTTAAACTTAAACACCTAATGTTATCTGTATAACTCTTATGTTATTTTCTTTCTTTTACTTTTAAGAGAAAATTGTCTGTATACTAGGTTACTATATTCTATAAATTTTTGGACGACGTGGGGGAGTTTGCAGAGCATATGAAACCAGACCCCACGTCCATTATTCCATCCGGATCTGATGGGTACCTGAGTAAGATTGCGAAATATAACATCGACTGTGTGTAATGCAGTTAACTCACTATCTCTAAATTCGCCGAGCTCAAAATAAAACTCTACTTCATCTGTCAAATCGACCGTCAGATCTGGGCGCAACCTTACCTACATTTAATGGTAAATGACTAACAATGTTAAACAGCGTTGTCGGACAAGAGTGAACATAATTGCTGATTCCAAAAGTTCAATTTGGAACTGTAGTTGGGAATATTGGGACTAATTTCAGGCTTTGTGGTGACCTGTACTTATAAAGATGTTTTGAATGCGCCGCTTTTATTTAATACATGTTTGTTTGTATTTCATACGATATAATATATAATTATATTCCGACAATTTTGTAACGCTGCTTATACGATTTCAAAATGCTAAATTAAAAATGTTGCTAAATTTTGTAATTTAAATTCTCAATAGCAAGGATGATATAAAATGAAACCTTTTAATATACTTCGTAAAGGATGTTTCTGCGTTCCACCAACATTATTTTTCATTACATTCTTATAACTTATAAAAATCAAATTAAAATATATATTTGATGAAACTTTGGCGAGAAAAGTAGTTTTAAATCCTTGACAGACTTGTGAAATTCTCAAAGTCTACCCCGGATAAATGTGTTTCAATACAGTAAATTCCCTCGTATCATAAAACATGGCTACATGTATAATTGTTTTAAATTCCCTCATAATCTGTAAACAGTGTGTAGGTAGAATCAAGGTTTTTTAAAACTCTTTCAATATTATATATTTATAATGTTCATTGTACTTATTATCAAATATTATCAAAAAGGTGTCTTCTTATTAACACATTTTGATGTATAATAATCAGTGGCGGAACTAGAAAAAATGGGCCACCCCGCAAAAAAATTTTTTGGGCCCCCCATATATATATATATATATATATATATATATATATATATATATATATATATATATATATATATATATATATATATTTCGGGTCCCCTACCAATGCCGCAAGTAAGAACCGCGCATCATGAAAGTATTGAAAGCCCACTTCATATGTAGCGGCTTTTCGTGCTATGGACTTTGTTGTTTTTTTTAAAAGAATTTGCCGGCGACAGCGTGTGTTTGATTGTAGGGAACTATAAATAGAACTCGGCCTTGAGGATGGTTAAAAAATACAACTATAAATAACTGTTTTAAATATGTAAAGAATTTGTCAACAATTTTTTAACCTCCTTTTTGGTCCCCATCCCCTGCCCCATCCGCCACAGTATACCTTGGAGGATCGGTCAAACAGTTACGTGCCCTCTGTTTAGCTATCAAAGGGAGGGGGGGGGGGGGCAACGAGTCAAAGAAGTCATTCAAAATTTGAAGAGTTGCCTATATTTTACACTGTAGTTTGTGTAATGGATTTTATCTTTTGCGGAAGAGCGTGGTATAGTGACTGTAAAATAAAGATAATCGTACCGCAGCTACAGTGTTTTTCTTTTACAAACCAAATATTAAGGCAAAAATTAAATTCAAAATTAAAAAAAAAAAATTTTGGTCAGCCGTGGGCCCCTAAACGGCCTCCCCCCCCCCCCCCCCCCGCGCATTGCGGGGTCTGGCGGGACTGTAGTTCCGCCCCTGTTCATCAGGTAAATGAACAACTACTGACTAGTGTCTTTAACAAAATGTGCAGAAGTGGTCAGTTTACAGTTTACAGTTCATAGACGGTTCGTTAATCTATGCATTACATCTTATTGTAAGAGTAAGGGTGTGGTGAGGGGTAGAAGTGAGGGGGAGGGGGGAGGGGGGGGGAGAGTTGGGAACGGAAGGGGACAAGAAAGCGCCGATAAACATCTACATCAATAGTGCCGACTTTTTCCGATCGTCTAGAAGACCAGGATAGTCGCCTCGCCGCAACATTTCCCCAGCCCGATTTCAAAGCGTACCGGCACAGTCAAATTTCAGATGCTTCGTCTTTGAAGTTGTCTATATGTCTGGCGGTCTCTCGAGCTATAGTCAGTGCATTTTTCTCAAAGACGTTTGCCGACTATCGTGTTTGTTTGTAACTGTAGAAGAAAGATGTAACTCGACCTCCACCTAATTTTTTTTTAATTTTTTAAAAATAATTTAGCCAGGATTTTTGGGCCCCCAATTGGTCTGGGCCCCCCCGCATTGCGGGGTCTGGCGGCACTGTAGTTCCGCCCCTGATAATAATAACAGTTTAAATCTCAAGCATCATTGAAGTGATTGATAGGTTATTTTATTGTGTAAAAACTGTTTACACTTTATTCTTAGTACTTGTATATTTTTAGGTGTTTTATCTAATATATTGTATTGCAAATAATTACATGTAGGGCCTAATTATTTTGTTGTAATGTATTACCCATTTGTTGCGCTTGTCTAGATTCTACTTTTCAATTTTAGATCAAAATCTAGATTAAGTCTAGATCTAGATCTACTCTAGATTTCTAGATCTGGATTCTAGAGATCTACTCTAGATTTCTAGATCTAAATCTAGAGTTAGAGATCTAGCCAGAGTCTAGATCTAGATTTCTAGATCTAGACTTTGGCTATAGATCATAGATATAGATCTAGTATAATATAGATCTAGACATAGACTCCATGGCATAGAGCCAAGAGTTTTAGTCTTCTTAAGAGTAGTACTTCAGTAGATCTAAATCTTAGTTTTGAGTTAGTCTAGATCCAGGATCTAGATCTAGATCTATATCTAGATCGAAATCTAGTAAAGTAGTAATAGATATATCTAGATCTATATTATGTTTTAAATAGTTTATATAGTTATAGTATAGTGACAATCTAGATCTGGAAAAGGATGATATATCTATTGAAAATCTATTCTAGATCTAGATTTATAATATCTATTCTATAGGCCCTACATTTAAGGCCAAGGCTATTCCTAATACTGCTATTCACAGTCGACTTTGAATAGACACTCTGAACATTTTATAATATTGATCTACATCTAGAGTCAAATAAAAGGGTGGAAGTTAACATTTAGATATTAGATCCATAATTTGACAAATAATTATAAAATAAAAATAATGCAAAGAGTATAAACATTGAACCAAGTAAATTTAAGTAAATTAGGCTATAACAAATAGAAGTAAGAAGTGGTACCATTTTAAGCAGTAAAAAAATTATCTTAAAGTATTTACTATTTAGTATGAAGTCTGTAAGAAGACATTTTTGGGATTAATAGAGGAGTATTTTCAATTGTTATGTAAATTTTTTGTTTCAATAATTAACTAGATCTATATGCTACAGGGCAATAAATAAGTAGATCTACAACAAATATAAAACTATAAAGGACAAACTGATTATCTTTCAAAAGTTAATCTTTTTACATTTTATTAAGACCTAAGAATTCATTTTAAATACTAATCTTTTCTATGTGACTACTATTCTCTTTATATTCATAATAGTTCAAAATTAAATGTTATAACTGATTTTTATTAAGCTCATTAAAGATCCAGGCTAATTAGGTAACTTATTTGCTGTAATTACTACTTAACAAGATTCTTCTGAAAATATTTTTATTTAAAGTGTGATCTGAACTTTTGGGCATGGGGATATTCAAAACTAATTAGATTAGGCAATGTATTTACAGAAGCTGTTGAGCATTTACATTGTGTATTTTTCTGTTTCAATAAGTTACAATTGCTGCAAACTTAGTTCTGATGTGTTAATTGATATTGCTAATTACAATACAACACTCAATATAGTTATTAAATATAGTTGAGAAAAATTAACAGCAAATTAGCTGATAAGCATATTAAGTCTATATGGTTTACAAAAAAATGCAATTAAACTCAATAGTCATTAGCTTCGATTTAACTTAAATTTGCTCTTCTACTTCTAGGCTCACACTTTTGACTTTTATGAAAATAAATTATTTTTTTAAAAAGTAAACATTGATCAACATCGTTTCCATGAAAATAATCAGATGCTTTTTTTTCAAGCTTTAGTGGCAATTGTGAATGACAACTGGTTGATATCCAAACATTTGTAAACAAGTTAAGCAAGTAATTTTATTCTGCATTTTTAAGGTCTCATTTTCAAATATAACTCCTACTTAAGAAAAATAAATAGTTGAAAATCACAAATAATTTATTAAAATCTTTATCAAAAGCTAATATCAAATAAATAATAAGCTTGTATGTGCTATGTTTATACCCAAAAAAATTATCAACAGTATTTTTATTTGAGGTATATATTTTAGGTAGCTTTTTCACTGTTTAGTTAGTAGAAACAAATTTATTTTATGTTACAATACTACATGTTTATTAAACTTGAGGAACTTTTATCTGCAGATGTAAAGTTAATTCTGAACTTACTAAGCCCTAGTTACTATTTGATATTAATGATCTATAATCATATCTAAAGTAACACAAACCATGGAAAACCCCAAAAAAGTGAGAAAAAGAAATTTGGAGCCACCAAGTACACCTGAAGGTAGAGCCAGATAAATGTTAAATCATTCTTTTGACCAAAGCTATAAGTAATTCAGCTAATTTAAAAACTATTGTTGCATTTTTAACATTCAAATAATTTAAAAATCAATTCCTTAATAATTAACATGTGATTTCTATAAGTTTTAACAACAAAATGCTCAATACCCAATGAATTCTATGAAAATGTATTTTCTTACATACCTGATTAAGAACTTTGAGTATCAAAGAAGCTGTAAAAGTTGTTCTCAGTAATGCCACATTTCTTGTCACTGTAATTATGAAGTAATGTATGTGTTCTTTTCTTATTTTTTATTTTAGATGTGCCATACTGTGAGAGTCTAAGTAAAGTTTTCAAAAGTGACCAAACAGGTGTCTTTATTCCAGGTGAGATATGACTAACATAAGACAACTCTAGTCTAAACAATTAAAAATCTGTGCTAACATTTAGATGACTTTTCTATAGTTAATTTAAAGTTGATTAAAGGAAGGACATAGTAAAAGTTTAATTTGTATATATATCAGTATGCTTAATTAAGTGTTAGTGTAAACATAGTATTATCAAAATAATAATAGGTGCATTTTATATCAGTGTTTAAATTTTTAGGTTGTTTAAATAATTTGTTTTCCTATTCCTGCAGGAAATCATGAAGCTGAGATGTGCTATGGAGGAGAAGCTGATCTACACAAACATGTTACTGGCTGTAAGAAAAATCCAGGTCACAAAGGTTTTATACCTCTTAAAGATTTCAACACAAAATATCTCCCCGCACGTTACCATGACGACGACCTCATGTCTGAGACAATCAAAACAATGGCAGCCCTAACTGTTCAGGTAAAGACTAAATTCACCAGTCTAGAGAGACCAGAGTTTTACCCAGACACGCATGTTCCATATCCATGTTATAATGACAGAGGAAGTCACGTGATGAGGTTAGGGACGGGTAGGTTGAGGTGTGTGCTCAAATACATTGAGAGTGACAGAACTTGTCATTGTGCCCAGTGTCAAGTCTCTGCAACACCCAACAAAGTGTGGGGGGAGGTTCGTGTGCAGACAGCCACACATGTGGTGTTTGATGACAGTGAGGCGAGACAGACCAGGTGTGTTTTAGGTTTTGATGACAATAAAAGTCCAGTGGTCAGTCTTGATGGCTGGGAGGTGGGGGGTGGGGCAAACATTGAGAGAGACAGGTGTGAGTTGAGTTATGTGACATGTAACTTAGAGTTGGTTGGTGAACTGTACAAGATGTGTGAGCGCTTTGATGATCTATGTAGGGGAGTAATAAACAAATACGGTAGATTTTTTTTTGAGGACAGGTTGACCGTTATAGTGTCACATCCTCATGGCTGTCCTAAACAGGTCTCTGTAGGACAATGGACACACAAACGTGAGAGGGATAAGGGCCTCACCTGGACCAGGTACTGGTACACAACATGTACATGTCCAGGCTCCAGTGGAGCGACTGTCTACAGACCGGGATATAGCGGGATATTTTATTACCATCCCCACAGTGGATCAAACTCTGAAGGAAATTATAGTGGGGAGTGTTGAGAGACTTATTTAACTGTTAGTACTCTTCCCTTGTCTACACAATGTAAACAAACAAAATGGCGGAGCCGTTCCCGTCAATAAATTGTGTTAAGACTTGCATGTCTTGTAAACATTTTATTACATTTAAATGATTAAAACAAATCTTTGAATTGTTTTAAACCGTTTAACCGTCAAACCTTGCATCTACCATAATGTATTATTGGCACTTTACATGTTTATTATCGTGAATATTTTCTCTGTAACAAATGTCGGCACAATTTTTGTTCTAACCTTACCATGAATTGACAGGTTTTAACTTTAAAAATTAAATTTCTTGCTATTTTTATTTGTTTACAAAATTATAACAATTAGAAAATAAATGCCCAAGCTAAAAATACGTTGTTCTGTTTTTTATGGACCAATTAGTATGTTTTCTAAATTATAAAATGAGCGAATTGTTGTCAAACAACTTTTGTTACTGATGTCGTTGGTTTTAAAACCACAATGCTGCCATTAAGCCTTTATAAGGATAAATAACTGTCATTTCAATGAAGTGAAGTTCAAATAAACTTAACTGATACTAGACACAATCGTTAATATCTACATCGTGTGTTGTCCTACTTCAAAAAAATGTTTATTCTTATTTATTCTAGATACTTTCACCAACTGGTGACAGAGCACTTGAATGTTGAAATGTAAGTCTCTGGTACCTGAGTCAATCCAGCTCTGATGAGTACCTGAGTAAATTGGGTAATTTAAACTCGGCTATGACGGCATAATTTAAACAGTGTTTCTTCCTAACTTTTTTTCTCCCGGTGGGGGGGGGGGGGGACACGGACTAAAATTTCCGGAGGAGAGGGGGGGGGGCGGTCCATTATTAAAAGTAAATAGTTTCTATATAAATTCGATTTTGTTCGGTGGGGGCGGGGGGCGGAAGAGATGCCTGGAAGAAACTCTGAATTTAAACATGTCATGTTTTAAGAAATAGATGAACTCTATTTTATCTGCTAGATTGATCTTCAAATTTTAAAGATAACGTAACTTGCTTGGATTTTATGGCAAAACTTGGTAAATATTGGTAACATTACAAAAAATGATTAATGTGCACAAAACCAAATGTTCATTATGAGTGCACACAAATTTTAAAGATTAAACAGGTAGTTTGTGTTTATAAAATATATTTTAAAGCTATTTTGATACATGTTATATTGATCAAAGTTATTACAAGCTGTACAGGTAAAAAAAATACAAAAGACTTTTGGTCTGATAGCAAGGCATGTTGTTAATTTCATATCTTGAAAACTGAATTGTAAAACAAAAAACGTTTACAGTCAAAGGGAAGCAACAATAAAAATAATTTTAGAGAAAAGAATATCATGAGTATCTTTCTTTTTTCCTGTTCCCGTCAATAGTTTATGTCGTAAATTTCTCTATACTTAACAAAGGAATATATTGACCTCTATCATATTATAGGGACATTCATATATTGTATAAATTGTGTTACATAATATGACATCTTCTTAATGTATTTAATGTTTTGTTGTATCTTTGGTCATTTAGTATTAGTGCCTTTAGTTGACGCTGTACTGTAAACTCTGCACGAACAAAGTATCGTGGTCGAAGGGAAATAACGAGTAAAATATTTCACATTCAATAGAATTTCATGGTTGTCTTTCTTCATATTTAATTTCAGGTCCATAACTGTTTTGTCAACGTTATTGCAAACATCAATAAAAACACTACCAAAAGTGATGCTACCGAAACAGCATGTAACGTTTACCTATCTATCAGCCAGATAGATGGTGAACGTCCCCGGATTCTTTTTTCGGGGTAATATGCAAATGACTTAAAGCCTAAATGGATGGACACTAACTCAACAACACACTAGGGCTCGAATTCGATGTCTAGGGAAAACTAGTGATACTATTGAAATTAACACTCATCCAATCTGCATACAACCTTTAATAAGCGAACACAGTTGTGGCAGAACACAAGGTTAAACTAGATAAAATATTTAATTTATAAAATGACAAAACCCAACTTACAAAGCGTAAGAAAAAACACTATCACAGATTTCAACACTGTATAAAAATAGCCACAGGCCACACAACACTGCTATAGCTTCAAGAATCACTTGGCGACAAGTAATTTTATACTAGAAGACTAAATCAACTTAAGACAGCATAGCACACACAGGACTTAAGTTCTCTCACGTTCAAATGGTCAGAATCTATTGCCGGACAATATGGACGGCTTGGTCGTAATGGACCGTTTGTTCAAGGTAGACTGCCTGATCAAGGTAAACTGCCACGTGTGGCGAGTGTGCGGTGCAGTTAAAGACTTATGCAAAAGGGGAGGTTATCCTCAACTCAAGTAGCCATTGGTTGGGATGGTCATCTGATCAGAATCAATCAATCAGATCTTAATGGAAAATTTCTGGGTCCTAGACACCTTAATAAGACAGTGGAAAAACCCCAGTAGTTGCACCATCATTCCATATAAGGTATTATACAATGTCAAAATAAAACATTACTGAACCTAAGTAGGTCACATCCCCTCCCTTTTTGGAAGTGACAGATAGGTTCCACAAAAACATACATAAGGAACCAATCTGGCAATGAGAATAAAAAAAAATGTTTTACAAATGTAGGCAATCAAAATCATAATACCAGATGAAAATATCCCTGAACATAAAAGGGAAGTAACTCAAACTTTTACATTTGGTGAAAGGGGAGTAACCCTTCAAAAAATAATCATACATCAAAATCCCTCAAAAAAGGGTATTACAATCTTTCCATGTGGATATTAAAAGTGGTAAACCCGCCAGGGTAAGACCTTTATTTCAATGACTAGCTACAATATCAACTGAGTCATGTGAGACATATTATTAAAAAAGATTACATATAATCAAAAACCACCTTTAATTAAGGTTCACCTGAAAATAAACAAAATATTCAATAGGATTGGAATTTTGAAAAATTCAAAACTCATACCACTCATTTTAATGTGAAAACACAACACTTGTGTATGGTCTTAATGAACCACAAAACATGTCACATGATCAATGTGTGCAATAAGATTTTACATCCTTGACAAACAATCAGCCACAACATTATCACTACCCTTAATGTGTGAAATTTCCAGATTAAAATTTTGGAAATATAAACACCATCTCAATATTATTTGGTTTGTCTGTCCTAACTTAGAGGTAAATTTCAGGGGATCATGGTCAGAATGTCCAAACACAAGTTGAAAAGGAGAGTAGCCTAAAGAGTCCTGGACACAGTCCCTCGCGGCGAAAATAATCAAAGGAACAGTCTCATCCCATTGGGTGTTACTATTAGCGAATGTTCTTAGCATGGTTTTGAGGGTTTGGTGGAACCTCTCAAGTACGCCTTGAGACTGAGGGTGGTAGGCTGAGCTGGTGATGTGGGTAACGCCTAGCTTGGCTAGTGCTTCCTGAAAATGGTGACTGGTGAAGTTGCTGCCTTGATCTGTTTGCACGATTCTAGGTAATCCAAAGGTAGTGAAGAACCGGGTCATGGCTCTGACTACAGTCTTTGCCTTAATGTTCCGTAAGGGGAACGCCTCGGGAAAACGGGTACTTGAACACATAAAGGTAAGTAGGTACTCGTTGCCCGCCTTGGTTTTAGGCAAGGGACCTACACAGTCGATGACGATTTTAGAAAAGGGTTCTTCTAATACAGGAATCGGACTCAAAGGGGCCTTAGGAATTTTCTGATTTGGCTTTCCGGCCAACTGACAGTTCGTGCAACTTCTGCAGTAACGCGACACATCATTTCTCATTTTGGGCCAAAAGAACAGTTCTTTGATCTTCGCCGTCGTTTTAGTGACTCCTGGGTGCGCTGACATTGGATGGTCATGTGCCAGTTTAAGTATTTCATGCCGATAAGGTGGAGGGACCCACAGCTGGTTTTTACCCAACCATGGTTCGGCTGGTGAGGCATTCACTGGTATCGAGCGACGAAAGAAGAGGCCGTTCTCGGAGAAATACTCCCCATCGTCAGATGATACAGATTTTTCGACCATTGCTTTGAGTTCCGCGTCGACTTATTGAGCTTTAATGATGTCTTCCTGAGATATTCTCAGGGGTAAGCCCAGACTTGTGTTCTCTAGAAGCATAGACTCCAGTTTGGGAGTCGAATTTCTTGACGATGATGGTAGGTGTGGTTCAGACGTTGTGTCAGCCAATTGTTTGGTCTGGCTTCTTGTCACCACACATGCAGGATACAGTTCATTATCATTATCTGGAACTGTTGAGAAAGGGTTTGGAACCGTACAGGGGTATACTTTGCTTCCCGCAAGGTCATTCCCTAAAAGTAGGTGTACTCCTGGGACTGGAAAACTATCTATCACACCTAAAATGACCTCACCTTCGACGAGATGATGTTTCAGGGCAAACTTGTGTAGAGGGACGACAGTAGATTTTGTCCCCACTCCCTGGATAATGGAAATCCTTCCGGTGTTCGTCTCAGTTGTAATGTCCATTGAACTTTTCAAAAGGAGTGATTGTGACGCTCCTGTGTCTCTTAGGACGGTGATATTCTTTTGAGACAACGGATCACCTGGTTTGCTAATGATGGCTTCGGCAATGAAAGATAAAAAGTCAACTTTTCTCGATCCCTCGAGATCGATAGACTCGGAAGAAACTGGATGGTGGCGAGAACAGTCAAAAAGTGACTGCACATAATGTGTGGAGACTTGACTACCTTCTTGCGGACACTTAGGGTTAGAGTCCTTTAGAATTCTAGAGTTCATAGTTGAACTGGCTGCTTGAGGGGATAGAGCATAGTGCGCAGAAGTACGCACCACCTCTCTGTTATATTGACGACGTTTGTAACAGTCCTTGACAAGATGACCAGGTCTTTTGCAGAACTGGCATACTGCTCGACGATTGAGAGTTGATCTTGGGTTCTCTCTGGACTGTGATGCCTTCAAGTGTTGGCCAACAGGAGGATTGCTGCCAAAAAGGGGAAGCACGGGGTTGAGGCGGTTTCCTGACACTGGTGGTTTCTTATGCACCAACATATATGTGTCAGCCGACTCAGCAGCCTTCCGGATGTCAATTATCTTGTTATCCAGTATGTGTAGTCGTATCTCTTCAGGCAGGGACGTTAGGAATTCTTCCCTTAGGATAAGTGACCTGAGTTTCTCAAACTCAGAAACTTCCTCAGAGTGTAGCCACCTTGAGAATATTTTCTCCTTTTCAAAGAGAAATTCCACATATGATTGAGTGGGTAACTTGCGGAGTGCTCGGAATTTCATCCGATAGGCCTCGGGCGTCAGTGCGTAGGCCTTCAAAATGGCAGTCTTGACCAAACTATAGTTATTTTGAACGTCGTGAGAGAGTGCCTGATATGTTTTTGCAGCTTTCCCAGTAAGGACCGAGCTCAATAAAGCATTCACATGTCTTCGCTAAACTCTCAAATGAGTTAAAGAAAACGACCAAATCTGTTTCATCAAATTTAGGCACTAATTTCCCAAATTTGGCAATCACTTGCCCTACCGACAACTTTTTTGGATCTACCAGAGAAGTGACATCACTAACTTGACCAAACTCTAATTCCAACCTCCTCTTATCTAAAGCAATTTTAGCCTCTAACTCCTGTTTCTCTAAAGCAACTTTCTCCTTCTCTAAAGCAATTCTAGCTTCTAATTCTATCTTCTCTAGAGGTTTCTCCTCGCGGAGTAACACACCAGCCAACAAACTTTCATCAAATACTCCTTCATTAATAAAATGAACAACAATTTTATCTCTC